CCACAAGGAAACTTGATGCCGGGGGAGTGCAGTTACTAATTCTATGTATGTGCATATAACCATGTGTGTGTAATGCATTTTAATCATGTTTTTTATTTGTATATATATTTTAAGCATGATGTAAGGATGTAGAATAAGGGGTGGAATGTCATGGTTGTATGGGTTTTTTTGCTTTTTTTTTCATTTTGGGTTTCAGTATTCCACATCAAAACATCATGTATTGTACGGGGCATTCAAGTGTCACTGCCCCAATCACAGAATCACAGAATCACAGAATTGTAGGGGTTGGAAGGGACCTCCAGAGTTCATCGAGTCCAACCCCCCTGCCAAAGCAGGTTCCCTACAGTAGGTCGCACAGGTAGGCATCCAGGCAGGTCTTGAACATCTCCAGAGAAGGAGACTCCACCACCTCCCTGGGCAGCCTGTTCCAGTGCTCCGTCACCCTCACCGTAAAGAAGTTCTTGCGCACATTTGTGCGGAACTTCCTATGCTGCAGTTTCCAGCCGTTTCCCCTCGTCCTGTCTCCACTCACCACTGAAAACAGTCTGGCCTCGCCATTCTGCCCCCCACACCTTAGATATTTATAGACCTGGATCAGGTCCCCTCTCAGTCTCCTTTTCTCAAGGCTGAACAGACCCAGTTCACTCAGCCTTTCCTCGTAGGAGAGATGCTCCAGGCCCTTCACCATCTTCGTGGCCCTCCGCTGGACTCTTTCCAAGAGATCCCTGTCTTTTTTGTACTGGGGAGCCCAGAACTGGACACAGTACTCCAGATGAGGTCTTACCAGGGCAGAGTAGAGGGGGAGGATCACTTCCTTCGACCTGCTGGACACGCTCTTTTTAATGCACCCCAGAATGCCATTGGCCTTTTTGGCCACAAGGGCACACTGCTGGCTCATGGCCAGCCTGTCATCCACCAGGACACCCAGGTCCCTCTCCGCAGAGCTCCCCTCCAGCAGGTCATCCCCCAACCTGTACTGGTGCATGGAATTATTCCTCCCCAGATGCAACACTCTGCACTTGCTTTTGTTAAACCTCATCCGGTTTTTTTCTGCCCAGCTCTCCAGCCTATCCAGGTCTTGCTGAATGGCAACACAGCCTTCAGGCGTGTCAGCCAATCCTCCCAACTTCGTATCATCAGCAAACTTGCTGAGGGTGGCCATTATCCCCTCATCAAGGTCATTGATGAAGATGTTGAACAAGACCGGACCCAGCACAGACCCCTGAGGAACACCGCTAGTTACAGGCCTCCAACCGGACTCTGCACCACCAACAACGACCCTCTGTGCTCTGTCAGTCAGCCAGTTCTCAACCCACCTCACTGTCCACTCATCTATCCCACATTTCCTCAGCTTTGTTATAAGGATGTCGTGGGGGACAGTATCAAATGCCTTGCTGAAATCAAGGTAGACTACATCCACTGCTTTCCCCCTATCCACCCAGCCAGAGACAACATCATAGAAGGCTACCAGGTTGGTCAAGCACGACCTCCCCCTTGTGAACCCGTGCTGACTACTCCTGATAACCTCCTCTTCTTCCAGTTGTCTGGAGATGACATCCAATACAAGCTGTTCCATCACCTTTCCAGGGACAGAGGTGAGGCTGACTGGCCTATAATTGCCTGGGTCTTCCTTCTTGCCTATTTTGAAGACCGGGGTGACGTTGGCTATCTTCCAGTCTTCAGGCACCTCCCCCGTCCTCCAAGACCTCTCAAAGATGACAGAAAGCGGTTCAGCAATCACCTCTGCCAGCTCCCTCAGCACCCGTGGATGAATCCCATCGGGTCCCATGGATTTGTGAACATTGGTGTTGCCTAGGCGCTCCTGGACCACCTCTTCCCTGACCGAAGGGAGGTCTTCCATTCCCAAGATCATCTCACTAACCTCCAGGGTCTCAGATTCCCGAGGGGGAGCTTTTTCACTGAAAACAGAAGCAAAGAAGGCATTCAGTATCTCCGCCTTCTCAGCATCCCCCGTTACCAGAACACCCCCGTCACTTAGCAGGGGAGCCACATTCTCCCTAGTCTTCCTTTTACTGTTAATGTACTTGAAAAAACCTTTTTTATTATCTTTTATCCCCTTTGCCAGATTTAATTCCAGGCAGGCTTTAGCCTTCCTTGTCGCATCCCTGCAGACCCTGACAACATTCCTGTATTCTTCCCAAGTAGTCAGACCCTTTTTCCACATTTCATGGGCCTTCTTCTTTCCTTTGAGTTTGTGCATGAGCTCCTTGCTCATCCACACAGGTCTTCTGCCACCCTTTCCCGATTTCTTCCTCACAGGGACACACTGATCTTGAGCTTGGAAGAAGAGCTGCTTAAATGTCGACCAGCTCTCACAGGCCCCCTTGCCTTCAAACACCCTAGCCCATGAGACAGCTCCAAGTAGGCCCCGGAAGAGATCGAAGTTGGCTCGCCTAAAGTCCAGGATAGCAATCCTACTTTTTGCTTTACTTCTTCCACTCAGGATCTTGAACTCCACCATCTCGTGGTCACTACAACCCAAGCTGCCCCCGACCTTTACTTCCCTGACAAGCCCTTCTCTATTAGTGAGAATAAGGTCCAGCAGTACCCCTCTCCTTGTCGATTCCTCAACCACCTGCATCAGGAAGTTGTCTTCAACACATTGCAGGAACCGTCTGGACCGCGCATGCCTGGCCACATTGCTTTTCCAGCAAATATCTGGATAATTGAAGTCCCCCATAAGCACCAGCGCCTGGGATCGTGACGCTGCTTCCAATTGTTTGTGGAAGGCCTCATCAACCTCCTCCTCCTGATCAGGGGGCCTGTAGCACACACCCACAACGGTGTCAGCCATACCAGCCCGCCCCTTGATTCTTACCCACAAGCTCTCCACTGCTACACCACTCTCCCCCAGGTGGAGTTCAATACATTCAAGCTGCTCTCTTACATAAAGAGCAACTCCACCACCCCGCCTCACCAGCCGATCTTTCCAGGTACCCAGGAATCCCAGGTACCTATCCCTGTACATTACAGAAGTCACGGGATCTGGCCCTTCTGGGTGGGGGGGGGGGGGCACTCTCTTGTTGCCTTGCAGTGGGTGCTGGAAGGTGCTTTCCTAGCTGTTCCAAGCTTTTCAGGTTTGACTCGGTGCCGGGAACTCTCTCTCTCTCATCTTGTCTGATTTATTAATCTCAATTTCAACTAAATTGTATATATTTTGTTATTTTGTATTCCAATATTATAGTAAAATAAGTTTTCCTCCATAGATTGTTGCCGCTGCTCTTTTCCTCCCTTCCTTCCTTCCCATTTTTTGTGGGACTGGGGTGGGAGGGCAGAGGCCTGTTGCCCCTGTCACGGACATAGATTGATCTAGTCAACTCCGTGACACTGGTGAACTTGTATTCTTTTCTTTCTTGTATAACTTTTCAGAGGCTGCTAACTTCCGAAGTGAAATAGTGGCCACGTTTGTGGCTTTGTGCTGGTTGTAAGTTGTTTGTCATCCAAGTTTTCTTCATTTCTGAGTCTCGTATGTTACTTATGCAAAATAAGCAGTCATTTCTCAGTGTTCACCAAGTACATCTGTGATGGACTCATGCCCATCATACACAATGGACACACTGTCCGTTAACACACCCGTGCTGTTCTTTGCTTTGCTTCTATCTGCTGCTCCTTTCAGCTGTTGGAGGTTCCTTTTTCTGAACTTTTGCGATTCATTGAACCAGTTTGTAAGGAAAAAGGTTTTTAACATTGTTTAAATTTTAACATTGTTTAAAATTGTTCTATAGTTGGATCTTAAAACACAACACTATAAAACTGTGCAATATGTATACTTTGTATGGAGTATGAAATAATAATTTAATCAAGGAGAGCACAAAAATGTGAAGCATCGCTACAGTTAGGAAAAGCAGTAAATCGGTGTATGCATGGAGAATGCGATTACTGAATGGTGGCACCTTGGAGCCAGGCTGTGATCATAGAATCATAAAATGGTTTGAGTTGGAAGGGACCTTTAAGATCATCTAGATCCAACCCCCCTGCTATAGGCAGGGACACCTCCCTCTAGACCAGGTTGCTCAAAGCCCCATCCAGCCTGGCCTGGAACGCACCCAGAGAGGAGGCACTCACAACCTCACTGGGCAACCTGTTCCTGTGTCCCACCACTCTCACAGTAAATAATTTCTTCCTAATATCTAGTCTAAATACAGCCTCTTCCAGTTTAAAGCCATTTCCCCTTGTCCCATAGCTACCTGCCCTTATAAAAAGTTCCTCCCCATCTTTCCTGTAGGCCCCCTTCAGATACTGGAAGGCTGCTATAAGGTCTCCTCAGAGCCTTCTCTTCTCCAGGCTGAAGAGTCCCAGCTCCCAGCCCGTTCACGTAGGGGAGGTGCTCCAACCCTCTGATTATCTTCATGGCCCTCCTGTGGACCTGCTCTAACAACTCTATGTCATTCTCATGTTGGAGGCTCCAGAACTGGATGCAGTACTCCAGGTGGGGTCTCATGAGAGCAGAATCACCTCTCTTGACCTGCTAGTCACACTCCTCTTGATGCAACCCTTGATACAGTTGGCCTTCTGGGCTGCATGGTTCATTTCTGGCTGTGATGGCTCAGTTCCAGATGCACATGGCATTTGCTTGTCACCTCAGGGTAGCTTATATTAAAAAACAAAAACAAAAATGAAACCAACCCAGAAACAACTCTTGAAAAGGGAATTTTCTTAGGAGCTAGGCTGAGGAAGTTTTGCCCATTTTAAGGAGAATTACAGCTGTATCAGCTTCTTAACGTCAGAATTCGTTCACCCTTTAAAAACATGATCATTTACTTTGAATCGTGTTTCATTTTGATAGCCTCCTTCATATAGAAAATATAGCATGCGATGTTTGTCTAAGTGCAAGCCTACCAACGCTCTATCTTCTATGTGGAAGGAAGTAGTCTATACATTTCTCCATGTTTGACATCATGGTGTTTGAATAACCACGTTCCATATTCATACCAATTTTTTGTTTTTGTTTTCAATTTATGCACAGCACTTGCTCTGAAATTTGGGGACTGAGTACACCAAACACGATAGATCAGTGGGAAACATCAGGCCTTTACAGCTTCTCTGAACAAACCAGGTGAATATTCTGCCCTCTCTCCATCATAGAACCTTGTGGGAGGGATTGGCTTTGGAGGGTCTGTCACGGGATGCTTTAGCTGTAAAATAGACTGAATGCTTCTGAGGTCTCTCATGGTACAGCATTTTAAAACGTTTGCTTTCCAGTGTAGCAATCCAAGTGTTCTCAGCTGATGTTTTGACCAATGAAATCCTAGCTGTGGAATATTCATTCTTTTTTCAATTAAATGCAAGCTCTGATGTGGTTTAGTATTTTTATTAACAACATTGGGCTACTTAATTATTTAGACCTAATCTTACAAAGTGTTTCAACTGCTTTGTACGCCATGAGCTTTCAGTTGAATCTCAGTAATTGGTTCCAATATGAGCTGCTAAAGAACTGCTTGTAAATTCTTCAGTAGTTAACAGCAGGCAAATTCTAAGCAGGGTCTTTTTTTTTCATATAACATTGCTTGATTTGTGTACTGAGGTTTGTCTCCCATCCCATAACAGTCATAAACATCTGCATTTGTGTAAGCATATGCAGTCTGTCTTAAAGCTAGCAAAACATTTTCAGCTAGTAGCAAGGCAGAGAAAAGCAAGAAAATAGTGTACAGCCCCTATGAGATGTGTTCACACTTGTTGCATCACAGTCACAATGCCATGTGGATCCCTCGGGCAGCTGACTGCTTAGAGACTAATTTGCAGTCCCTGGGGAATTAAGCTTAAAGCCATAAAGCATCCATGCCCTGGCAAACCTTAAAGTTTAGAAACTGAAGGGACTGTTAAGTGCGTGATTTTCTTTCAGCAATTGTCTTCTGCATTTAAAAATGTGTACGAAATAATCATCCCAAATATTTGGTTAGAGATAAAGTGGCTTTTAATGACCTCTAAATTCACTGTCAGTAACTTGAACAGTTCAGAAATTTAACACTGATGCCACCATTTCTCTCCCATTTGAAGCCTTTTAACAAGAGTACAAACATCACTAACAGTGTCAATTCATTGAATTCTGAAAATGAGCCAATTGCCCTTTCCGTAGTTTACACTGTTGATTGAATGTTTATGAGACACTGTGCAGCCTGTAAATACCTCTCAACATCTTTCCTATGTAGATCTCTTGATGGCCGACTACAGGTGTCACATCGTAAAGGACTACCACATGTCATCTACTGTCGTCTGTGGCGCTGGCCAGACCTTCACAGTCACCATGAACTTAAAGCAATTGAAAACTGTGAATACGCTTTTAATCTTAAAAAGGATGAAGTATGTGTAAACCCATACCACTACCAGAGAGTGGAGACACCAGGTAGGAAGACTGCTACTGGCTTTGTAGCACCATCTGTCTGTACATAAATTGTGAATGCCCCCTCCCGGGATGCATTCAAGGCCAGGCCGGATGGGGCTCAGAGCAACCTGATTTAGAGGGAGGTATCCCTGCCTATAGCAGGAGGGTTGGAACTAGATGATCTTAAGGGTCCCTTCCAACCCAAACCATTTTATGGTTCTGAGGGAAATGATTTAGTGGGGGTGAGTTGAGGTTGGACTTGCTGATCTTGGAGGTCTTTTTCAACCTTCACAATTCTGTGTTTCTACACACTTGTTCAGTATAACGTTTCAAATGAAAAACACAGAAAGATGATGTGCTCTCGTGCCAAAACTGCAAGATGATTAAGGATGCAGGTTTGGAGAATGCCATCTGCTGAAAGTTTTTAATAGAAAATATGGTGAAAAATCTTAACCAATGTGTTGAATACCTCAATAAATGCTTCCAGTAGTGCTATTAATTTCCACCTGGCTAAGGATGGTTCAGCATGAAAATGAAAATAGAATGACTTAACTGTGCTAATACAGAATAGCCATGTTCAAGAGAAGCCTGCTTGTTCTGGTAATTACCGGTACAATTGCAGTATTAGCAGTACTGAGACACACCCAGAGAAGTTGTTAGATGGTTTAGATTTGTTTTTCCTTTTAGTTCATAGAAGTATGAGTTTAGAAGATTCTAATAATTCTTTGACTTTTGTTTTTCCAGTCTTGCCTCCTGTACTAGTGCCACGGCACACTGAGATCCTAACAGAGCTTCCTCCACTTGATGACTACACCCATTCCATTCCTGAGAACACTAACTTCCCAGCTGGAATTGAACCACAGAGCAACTATATACCAGGTACTTTCTTACCTCTCAACGTGAACAGTACACTTCACATTACAATGGAGCAAAGATGGTAATTTCATCCTCCCATGTGATCAAACGAATTGAAAGATTACACCAATAAGTTAATTCTTATTGATTTTCTTCATTAATTCCAATGGAGCACCTGAAAACAAAACAGTGACTATAGCAATTGGACAAATCAATACAATGGGAAATGCATAACAACAAAGGAGGAATGATGAAAGAAATAATACAAGAGGAACCGTAGAGAAAGGGAAGAAGATAACTCACCTGCATCAGAAGATACTAGGTTCACAGGGGAAAACTTCACTAAAAAGAAATCTACACACACACACACACACACACACACACACACACACACACACACACA